TATGGAAAATTTAAATTGGACGGGGATTTTTTGGCACATACTGGTCCATAGCTTAATGGCACTTTCACGCCACTTCTGAAAGTGGATACATTAATCGTATCACATTACACTTGAATTTCTAGAGTTGTTCTACAATATCGTGATCGTTTTTGTAAGAAGATTGTTTAAAACTGTTTTTTTGAGAGTGTTTTGTCCTTTGTAATTCCTTTGCGAAATACACTATAGTTTTTTTCAAGCCTTCAGCCAAAGGAACCTTAGGTTCCCAATTTAAATATTTTTTAGCTCTACTAATGTCCGGTCTTCTTCTCTGCGGGTCATCCTCAACCGCCGCGAGTTCGACTATTTCACTGGTAGCACCCACCAAACTCTTTATTATACGCGCAAATTCTGAAGAAAATTAAAGAATGTTCAATAAATATTACCAAACAAATATTGGAAAAAACGTAACATAATAAGATAACTCTTACTTTCAATAGTCTGCTCCTCAGGATTTCCAATATTTACAGGAAGTGTATAATTAGATGCCATTAAAGCTACCAATCCATCCACCAGATCAGAAACGTATTGAAACGATCGTGTCTGTTTTCCACTGCCATATATTGTGATCGATTCATTTTGTAAAGCCTGGATAATAAAATTTGACACGACACGACCATCATTCATATGCATTCTCGGACCGAAGGTGTTGAAAATTCGTGCGACTCGAACCGAGACGCCTTCGTGTCTCATATAAGCGTAGCTCAATGTCTCGGCAACTCGTTTTCCCTCGTCATAGCATGCCCGCGGACCTATATTTCAAGTATGCCAACCGTTATAGTATCTACTATAATTTAAAGAAAAAGAAGAAATTATATTTATATCATACAGAATCTTACCGATGGGATTAACGTGACCCCAATAAGTTTCTGCTTGCGGGTGTTCGTTAGGATCCCCGTACACTTCCGACGTGCTCGCGATTAATACTCGTGCACCGACTCGTTTTGCGAGTCCTAAAATATCGTTAATTACAATAAACTAATAAGGTTATTTTGAATATCTTCTCAATTCATATCTTCAATTTTCAAATTTAGCTCCGTACGATTAACTCACCAAGCATATTTATAGTGCCTAAGGTATTTGTCTTGATCGTTTTCACAGGATTCAGCATATAGTGCGGCGGACTGGCCGGGCTAGCGAGATGATAGATTTCGTCGACTTCTAAATACAATGGCCTTACGATATCGTGATGCACCAGCTCGAAGTTCTCGTGACCGACCCAGTGCTCCACGTTCCGCTTCCTGCCGGTGAAGAAATTGTCGACGACTATTACCTCGTGCCCGGCGAGCATCAGACGATCCACCAGATGGGAACCAACGAAACCCGCACCGCCAGTCACCAGAATTCGTTTCCGATTTTTATAATTTAGGAATTTCACCGTTGGAAAGTCCTTAGCCACTCCGTTCTTAATTGCTGCCTCCAGATGCTGGAGTTTACCCTCCAGCTCACGGATTCGAATTTTCGCCTCTTCGATGTCCCTGATGTCCCCGTCAGACGGCTCATCCTCGACATCGCGAATCTTTTGCGTCGCAACTTTGGCGAATTCGTTTTTGTCTAAATTAGCTTTATTTACGCCGAGCACGGCGCGTGGTCGACCGCGATTAAAAGATCGTTCCTCTTCCGTAGTCACCAGAGTTTTGTAAAAACCTAAGACTGTTACAAATATAGAAAACGACATTATTAATCTAAGATTAAATATGTTTTTTATGCATTATTAATTTTCAATTATATAATAATTACGATAATAAAAACAAAAACTAATACGAAAAGTAAAAACAAAAAAAGTTAAAAACGAAAAGTTTTATGACTCCAAAAATAAATCAAATACAAGTACGTCTATATATATGAGTTTCCGTGATTGTTGTTATATAAATTACATTTCACAATCGTAACAAGTGAAGTAATTGTAAATTTATGCAAGATTTTTCAGCGAAATTTTCAAATTGATAAATCAATCAACTTTTTGTTTCTTTGTAAAATTTTACTCTTTCATCTAACGTATATCGTTACAAATGGCAGTCTATGGATCTCGGGTAACCGCAGCGGTTAATGCTCAAAAGATTTGCCTGCTCTACTACAAATTGCCTTATTATATTCTCCAACTCTCGTTCGGCATTCGATGGTGCTCGACGTGAACAGTCAAATGTTACATAATTACATAAATTATACGCTGCATACATTCGCGCTCCGAGAAAGCTATTCGATCGTCATTTATAGAGGCGTGTAAAAATAATTTTGCCCCGCTCCAAAAGTGTGCGTATGTAATTATTTGTGTACAAAAATCGATTTAAAAAAAGACATGAGAAAGGAATCGTACTAGATACGAATTCTTAGAATTAGAAAAAGACAAAGTGTAAGTTAAACCTGATCAAAGCTGAAAGAAATCCAATTGGCCCTCACATCGTTAATTGGCCAATTTAACATAAAATTTCTGATTGATATACTAGAGAAACTGTCCAAGCCGATCTAAGTGAATGTGTACTATCGGAATGTGAATTAACGGAAATCTCCTATTAGAGTTAATTTATAATAGTAAAAATAAACAATGGAGAAAAATAATTTGGATCCTGTTTGCTATACTCTATTTTTTTCTAACTCGTAGGACTAGAAAAAGATAAGAAACGAGTTTTATCAATCTAATCTACTTGATAGAAACATGGTCATACGCGAGATTAAAATTAATCCGTATTGATAGAAATAAACGATAAAGAAAAAAATTATAGTAAAGAAATAAAAATGTCTCATATGGAATAATTTACATTTACCTTTTTCTGATTGTAAAAATAAAAACTAAGAAAAAATAAAATGAAATTCATATTTAGCTCATTTCTTTTTTGTTTTCTTTTCTAAATCGATTCCACATACAACAATATATATATATGCACATTTTTGGGGCAAAAAAATTATTTTTGCATACAGGCAGCCAATTTTTTATTAATTTCTAATCGAAACAGTATTCGTTAACATTGAAGCGAAAAAATATAAGCCATTCTAATGGAATGCCTTATATTTCCTCCTTTTTGCTCCTCATTTTAATGGAAAATCATTCTCGTAACAATTTGTTGTAACCTTCAGACAACTTCCAACCGTATGTTCTATTTTTCGGAGTTAAGGTCGAGTTTTACGCACAACAGATAAACGCACGACGGGCATATTAAAATACTTTGCTATTCTTATAACGCAGTATCGTCGATTTCTAGTATTTTAAATTTAAACGATAGTAGAGTGCTGATGGAATCGTAAAATTATCGTTATGTAAACGTACCACATGACATAAATGAAAAAAAGAACGATTACTCTGAAATAATGTTGACAAATAAATGACAACAATGTGAAAGGAAGGAAAGAAAAGGAACTTGAAGAATCGCTTGATGAATTCGCGAAACTACAGAGAAGCGAACGAGATCAAACGAGATCGCGTGGTGCACCAGCCGTAAATAAATCGCGTTGCTCGTGACGCAAAAGAGTCGGAGTATATTCTTGGCTCCCATAACCTATCCAGAAAACTCACCCAGCAGAGCGCAAATTGCAAAGATCGCAACTTGCTTCATCTTCCGTTGCGTGATAACCATGCTTTAAATTTGCACATGACTCGTTTTAAATCGCGCTTACGTCACTCTCGACGGACAATTGCGTGCTCCCGCGTGACACGGGAAACACGCGTTCGAGGAGTCGAGTCCAGTACGTGCACTATATACGTATTATTGAATTATTCGAAAAGGATTCCGACGGGAATTATTCGATTGCTCTCTAGATTTCTGTCCTTCTAGGGAAAACGGAATAACTCCGATCGGAATCCATTCCGAGCAGCTTTCACGTAATACGTGTCCAGTTTAATTACTAATTCAAAATATAACACACGGAGCGAGGGAACATAACCTCCACGGCACACGAACACCAACGGACACCGACTGAAACGTGTGTTTCATCCACTGCATCCACAAACTTCTATATATAAGCATAAAAGTCTGTAGAGAGAGAGTTCGATCGCTCCGAGATACACCTGCACGCGACGTGCTTATAATTATATTGACGCAGCGTGTTTGGAGGTACAAGTGTCGCCATCTGGACAGAGATATTCAAAAATTTGCACTTCGGTTGTATTGTGATATTTATCCTTTGTCGGTAATGTAGGATTTTAGTTCAATGCATGATTTTCAACCTCGTTTTTAATATACTATAATAACTAATGCATTATTCAGTACAAAAATTAAACTGTGGAATAACTTTTAAATATACTTATAAAAGTTTTAACATCGAATTTTTTTGCTATCAAGTCGGATTTTCCTTTTTATTTTTTACAGATTTATCTGTCAGAATTAATTACCATAAAAAATTGACTTTGCCTTCAAATGTACGTAATTATTATTTTGTTACTTTATTTTGTTGTTATTATTTTATAGTGATAGTAGTGTAATAATTTTATATTTCAATTATTATAATTAGTTTATAATATTTATATTATCCTGACGATTGATTTATATATACACATATACTTATATATCGATATTATTGTGTATGAGCATAAATATGTAGATATTCTACATACATATTATATTGTAAAGTTGTAAATAAATTTCAGTTATAAAGTTGTATTATTGTTGTCACACACGACTCCAGTTATCCATGCAATTGAAAACTAGGAAAAATACATCTTTACGACAATAATATGTATGATATATTATCGAGTAGCATATTTAAACATAAAGCATCCATGATCCACATAACAAAATTAACATAAAATTACTAGCCGTTTTCAACGGTACGAATCAACACGGGCCAATCATCCGCATATCATCCGCTGTTTACCTAACCTATCTTCAAAAACTGACGTGATCTCAACTGGCGCGCACGCAGGCGCAGAACCAATTCTTCGATTGATATATAAGGCTATACGACAGTACGAGTACAAAGGAAACATCTCGGGTGGTTTTCCTGCAGTCACGGTGGCAGTGATATTTGAAACATGGCAGACGTCATCGATTGTAACTTTCCTGTTTGGGGCCTGCTGCCTAAAAAAGAGACAGGTGTCACTCAGTTTCTTACCAAGTATCCAGAATACGATGGACGAAATGTTGTCATTGCGATCTTGGACTCGGGAGTGGATCCCGGAGCCCCGGGTATGCAGGTGAGAACCGAGGGTGAATTCATGGACATTGGTTAGTTGGTCGACACGCCTCTCATAAGGGTGTTAATTTCTTTCGCCTGAGTACCGCCTTTTCTTCAAAACGCGAGTGCAGAATTTTGGAGTAAATTGTGTCTCGACGGGTAGCATTTTTGGTGCTCCTTTCTTATTTTTTTTTTTTTTTGTCCAAGATATTTCCCGCATTTCGTGAACTATCTCCATCGAAAAATAAAAGTCATGCTGTTCGTTTACTTTTGTCTGATATGACGATATGATCGCATTGTCATGTTATGAAAAGATCCTATCGTGCGACAGAAAATCGTTGTGTGAATTTTGTTATGTCGATGACAATCTGATAATCGCGGCTGAGTTTTCTCATAGTAAATTCAAATTTATATAGCTATTCTTGCATACCACAATTTTTATCAGTATATTTGATTAATAATAATTTTTTAAAAGTTGTATTATTTTTTTTCTAATAAAATTTTTATTCTTTTATGCATCTCTACTATATTCTCAAAAGTGTAATAATCTTTAATTATTAAAATACTATTACAGTTCTATAAATCTCACATTATTAAATCTTCAATAAAATTTGAATAAAATTAGAATAATTCTTTAATAAAAACTTTAGTTAAAATAAACATTGTTATCTATAAATCAATGCATATGGGATTTAGGTGACTTCAGATGGAAAACCTAAAATTATTGAGAGATTTGACTGTAGCGGAGCAGGGGATGTAGATACTAGCAAAGTTGTTCAAGCACCAGATGGATTTATAACTGGCCTGACTGGTCGTAAATTAAAGGTGTGTATACAGTACATTGTTACTGTTTTATTATTTAAAAAAGATATTGTATTATATATGAAATTATACTATATATATTTTATATTTATAATCTAATATTATTACTTTAGAATTTTAAATTGCTAGTTACAAAAGTATAAAAGTAAGCACAACAGTAAAATTCATTAAATTATTATACAAAATACATTAGCTATATAATATAACAGAACACAAATATATTTAAATATTATATTATTTGTAATTGTAGATAAAATAAAACAGATGTTTATTATAACAACTCACATATATTAATTGTAATATTTGATTATTATTTATTATTTAGGTTCCATCTAATTGGAATAACCCTAGTGGAGAATATCATATCGGTTTAAAGAATCTGTATTCATTATATCCTACTAAACTAAAGGAAAGAGTAGTGGCAGAACGCAAGAAGCGTCTTTGGGATGAAGGACATAAAGCTGCACTTGCAGAAGCTTCCAGACAATTACAGGTATAATATTTTTAATTAAAATATGTTAATACTTTAGTTTCCAAAATAGATTATAATTTGCTTCATTCTTTTATATACTTAAACTTTTAAACTCTTGTATGTGAAATTTTTTATTGAATTCAATGTTATTAATTATCCATCTCATTCTGTTTAAAAATTTTCAACGTCAAGTTGTTATTTTGTCTTTAATGCATATATATCATTACAATATTATTGAAATGTCGCGAGAATTGGAAATCAATAGAAATATCTCTGAATAGTATTATAATTAGAATATTAGTCCATGTGATCCAAAGATAGGAATGCATGTCAAACCATGCAATTAAATGAGGCCGCTATTTCACAACATGTCACAGTGATCCGTATCTAATGCTATATTTGTATTTGGCAGATTGATCTATTGTAAAGTCATTGATTCTATTATATAATATCTATTTAAGCAAAGCCTATTATATGAATGATACATAGATGTGTAACATTTTTATTAACTTTATATCATTTTTATACCATGTAATTTAAATGTAAAAAATTTGTTAAAGAGAGAGAGGGAGAGAGAGAGAGAGAGAGAGAGAGAGAGAGAGAGAGAGAGAGAGATAATTGAAAATGTATTTTATATGTTGAATTAAGTTATCGTAATATTAATAATAAACAGAAGTTTTTTTGCATCATTATTAAAATATGTATTATCCCGTTTATGTGTTATTTATGAAGTAAACTTATATGAATTCGTTTCTAAAATGAAAAATTAATAACGTATTTATGTATATAAATTTACTTTATAAATATTAATTATATAATATTCTTAAATATAATTTGCAGGAATTTGAGAATAAAAATCCTCAATTATCAACTTTGGAGGAAAGACTGCAAAAAGAAGAATATGAAGCTCGAGTTGAAGTACTGAATATTATTGAAAAAAAGTATTGCGATGTAGGACCTACTTACGATTGCGTTGTTTTTCACGATGGTAACATTTGGAGGTAATATAAATATACACATACCTAATTATTTAAAATTTAAATTACTTTATATTTATTCGTTTGATTTGATGTTTTATTTGTTTGATTTGATCTTTTCTATAACAGAACATGTATTGATACTTCTGAAGTGGGTAACTTGGAATCTGGCGTTTTTCTTGGTGAATATTCTATCACGAGAGATTTTGCTCCTCTTACACAAGAAGATCAGTTAAATATTAGTATTAATATTCATGATGAAGGCAATACATTAGAAATTGTCAGTTTATGTTGTAAGTATGACAAAAATGTTATGTTAAATTTTTATGAAGTTAAATGTTGATTTTTCTATTACTTTTAATTAAATTATATTACAGCGAGTCATGGGACACATGTTGCATCGATTGCAGCTGCATATTTTCCTGATAATCCAGAATTGAATGGAGTAGCACCAGGAGCCCAAATTATTTCGCTAACTGTCGGTGATGGACGTATTGGTACAATGGAAACTGGAACCTCTGTTGTACGGGCAATGATTCATATAATGCAACGTAAAGAGAAGATTCATGTTATAAACATGAGTTATGGTGAACATGCTCATTGGTCAAATACAGGTAGAATAGGAGAATTAATGAATGAAGTTATCGATGAATATGGTGTAACATGGGTTGCATCTGCTGGTAATCTGGGTCCAGCTTTGTGTACTATTGGTAAATATAATATAAAATTCATTATTCTCTCTTCACACATATTCTGTTACATCAGCTTCTTAACATTTAATTTTATTATCACATTTATATTAATATTACAAACACAAAATATACTTAGATAATTTTTATTGCGCTATGTGTCTTGATCTTATATCTAATAATAAAAATATATATAGGAACTCCTCCAGACATCAGTTCAAACAGTATTATTAGTGTTGGTGCTTATGTATCACCTGATATGATGGTAGCTGAATATTCTTTAAGAGAAAAGATGCCAGGCATGCCATATACTTGGTCCTCCCGTGGTCCAATGATAGATGGAGGTGCTGGTGTAACAGTATGTGCACCAGGAGGTGCCATTACCAGCGTTCCAAATTTTACTCTTAGAAAAAGTCAACTTATGAATGGTACAAGTATGGCAAGTCCACATGTTACTGGAGCAGTTGGTATGTATCGAAATTTTTATATATATATATATATATTATATATATTTATGACATATTAAATTTCGATGTGATTATAAGAATATTTATGCTATACTTTTTTATTTTTAGCGGTTCTTATATCAGGTCTTCTTGCCAAGGGTTGTTTATACTCTCCTTATAGTATAAAAAGGGCGCTTGAAAATACTGCTCTTTATGTACCCAATTTAGATCCATTTGCACAAGGCTCAGGCCTATTACAAGTCGAACGTGCATTTGATAATCTCATTTCATGTTGTGATGCACCCGAAAGAGATGTACGCTTTGCTATCAATTGCGGCGTTAATAATTCTAAAGGCATTCATATGAGAGCAGGTGTCATTGATCGTGCAAAGGATTATGCAATTACAGTCGAACCAGTATTTATAAATAGCGAAAATATAGGTAACATAGTACATAACAATTTTCTGTAATTGTTCTTTATTTATTTTTGTTATCACGATATCAGATTTCTCTAAAATGAATAATATAAAATAATATTTTAATAAAATAATATTTTTGTACAAATAAATTTACGTTATTTTATAGATCCAGCACGCAAAATAGATTTTAATCTGAAGCTAACATTGGTATGTGATGCTTCCTGGGTCCAATTTCCGACACATCTTGATTTGATGCATATGTCTCGTGCTTTTGCTATTAGAGTTGAAGCTACTAATTTACCAGAAGGTGTTCATGCTACTAGGTAAAAATTATTTTAAATTGCATTATTATATCAATCATATAGTTTAAAGTTATTGCAATTATAAGTTTACGTTCATATAATTTTTAGTGTACGAGCGTATGACGTAACTAATATCGCGAAAGGACCAATATTTCAAATTCCGGTAACTGTTGTCCAACCATTGACAATATCGAAGACTGCACTTCTTCCAGACTTAACATACACAAATGTATTATTTAAACCTAATACAATTCAGCGTCATTTTATTCTTGTTCCAGAAGATGCTACTTGGGCAGGTAATATATCAAAGATTATCTTGTTATAAAGAATTATTTAATATAATTTAGATAATATTATATACATTATATTTTATTTTTTATATTTGAATCAGTTCTTAGATTAAAAAGCACAGAAAAGGATAAGACTGGTAGATTTGTGATGCACGCTATTCAATTAAAACCTCGTTTAGCCTGTAAAACTCTTGAAGTTAACAGAATAATAAGTGTTACATCTCAATCGGAAACTGTTCAACCATTTGCTGTTCAGGTATAAAATATTTATGTTTAAATATGTATAAACATATTCTTAAAAGATTCAATTTGTAATCGTTTAGTTTATTACATCTCTATATGCAAATAATTTTTTTAGGGTGGATTAATTTTGGAAGTAGTTATTGCAAAATATTGGGCAAATCTTGGCGATATGTTTGTTGATTATTGTATAGAATTTCATGGAATTCATATGATTAACGGTAATCTTACAATGCTATCTGGAGATGGCATAAATCGTCTTGAATTACGCAGCTCTCTTAGAAACGAAGAAGTTGTACCCAACATTTCTCTGAAAACATCTGTTCAAGTTTTAAAGTATGTTTGATCTGAGATCTGCATCTTATTTCTATACTAATGTTTACGAAATATATTTTATTATGTAACATTATAGGCCTAATGAATCGAAAATTGCTCCTTTACGAGCACGTGATATTATTCCACCATCACGACAAATATATGAGTTACAACTAATGTACACATTCCACTCGGCAAAATCAACTGAGATCACACCAAATGCTGCACTGCTCAGTGATTTGTTGTATGAAAGCGAGTATGAAAGCCAAATGTGGATGATTTACGACAGTAATAAACAATTGATAAGTTGTGGAGATGCATATCCATCTAAAGTGAGTTTTTTACTTTAATGCTTAAAGTAGATATATAATGAAATATTATATTGGATTTGTCGTTATAGAAGTACATTTTTATGTATTTTAATATATGACATATACAATAATATTTCTTTAATGATAAAAATATATTTACGATTGTATTTTCACAATAATGATATAACAATTTATAAGATAGGATCTAATATTTTTAGATAAGATCTAAATGTGGAACTTGGCCTAGTACAATTTCATTTAACATACGAAAATAATATTAATTTATTACAGTATACAATTCATAAATTAGAAAAGGGAGACTACACTTTGAAAATGCATATACGTCATGAGAAAAAGGATTTGTTGGAAAGATTGACAGACATGCCGTTACTATTGAGTCAAAAGCTTAATACACCAATTAATTTGGACATTTATGCCAATCAATCTCAAGCGATTATTGGTGGAAAAAAAATGGTTGCTGCATGTATTCCACCTGGCCATATTCTTCCTCTGTATATTGCTCCACTGTCTAATGAAAGCAAGTAAGTGTTTACATTTATATCTATATATGTAATATATTTTTCCTAGTATTTGTATTATAGATATACGTAAATTAATATAGTTTAACATATCTAAATTTGCTCTGATCATGATAGATGTAGCTAAGTATTTAATAATTATTTGCATAAGACTAATCTGCAACTATGAAAGTTTTCTATAAAGAAAATTTTATAATTGGGACCAAAAAATTTCCAAAATATTTATTTAAGGTTTCTAATTGCAACATTTTATTATTAAAAAAAATACTATAAGTTAGTTGATTATTTTATACGCTTATACCTTTAAGTTAAATATTAAAATTTTTTGTATATTTAGTACACTTTTTACATTGTATACACATCATATACTTTTGCATATATTTCATATATTAAAAGTAAATTATTAATGTATTCTCAATATATCACCTTTATCGCACACTTGTTTCACATGTTAATCAATTATATGCTTAAAATATAAAAAATACTCTGAAATATTCTATCAATACAAAATTTGGTATTTTCGTAAATAAAAATATATTTTGTATATAAACTCGTAATGATTTTACGATTTGAAAATATCTATCATATTATAGTAATATACTTGAATGTATGATTTTTACTTGGTTACCAACTGTTTTGTTTTTATTTGATTATTAAGTTAAATATATGCGAATTAAAATATTTATATGAAGATTTTTTTGAACAAAAATACATTTTAAGCATACGCAATTTGTGTACATATAAACCGTTTATAAAAATATTATAAATCGATATTTTATATATATGTAAGATGTTTCTAAATTGATGTCATAAAATTTACACACATTTTCTTTGACAATTTGGTACCGTTTTTTCTTAGTAAAAAATTTATTAGAATTCTTTTATACAATTCTTTATTTTTTAAAATTAAATATCTTACATTTAATATTGATTTTTGTATTAAAATTTTATTAAAACAAAATTTTCTTACATTTGTGTAAGTAATACAATTTTTATATTCCGGTTCTTTTTGGAATTAAATTCCTATAAAGTTTTTTTATTTGCAACTGTTTATAAATCAAATTATAAATTTAAAAAATTGTGAACACATGCACACACATACACGCGTGAGCGCGTTTTCGCTAAGAAATCATCGATGCTAAATTGATTATAAAATATATACATATATGTAAATTTTATGACATTTATTTAGAGATATTTGATAATGTAATATATTATTTAGTGCTAAAATGCTATTAAGATCTTTTTTTTTTATCTTACATTGCAGCACTGAAAACAAGTGAGTTTATGATACAATTTTATACATACTTTGCATTTGAAAGCTTTAAATAAAATCAAGAACTTTTTTTTTGCTGTTCAGTTATATGACAACATATTTTTAAATGCATGCTTATGTCTGTCTTTAATCAAGATATTGCATACAAGATACACAATATCAAAATATTGCTTATTTCAAGAAAAGGTATATTCAAAAAAAGCAAATTTACATAGGCAAATTTTTATTTCTCTTTTTATTCTTTTCTAGTTGAAACAAATACATCAACATATATCAGATAAGTAATGTATGTCAATTTTGATCTATGTTTATTCAAACAATACAAATAAATCAAATTTATATAGTATTAAATAAAATTTGCCTACGTATATATATATTAAAAAACTACTGCTTTTACTACTATTTCCAATTAATTTGACGTTACTGTTCTTCAAAAATGTTGCAAATATTAAAAATTTCTTCATAGAGATTTCATATCTATATTTATATAGTCATTTTTTCAAATTTTATTGTCCAACTTTTATTACTTATAAATATTTATTTTTCAAGAAATTATTTGAGTGTTTACATATACAAATTACGCTTTTATATGCTAATGTAATATATTAGTACGTTTGATATGAATGGAGTATATTATTTCTCTGCGCGCGCGAGATTATATTCTGTTATATATAAAATATTTATTTTTCATATATAGATATATACATATATATATATATATTATTACCACTATTACTGCCGCTCTTCTTACAGTATTTAATCTATTTTCCTGTTCTATTTAGCTTCAGCATGTAATACATATAACAAAAATAAAATAGCAAAAAAACTGCTGTATTTATTATTAAAATATAAAATTTTAATAACTTGATATACATTAAATATTTTTCTTTTCTTTTTGCAAAGAGTATCCAAATACGCTACCCCTGGTAGTTATCTTCAAGGAACATTGACTTTCTGTAAAGATGATATTGGAAAGAAGGTGGATAGTCATGTATTTAAATACATCATATCTGATCCTAACAAGAAAAATGTCAGCTCTACTACTAAATCTGAGAAAGAGAAAACTACAAAGTGGGATGAATACCAGGAAGCAATAAGAGATTTAAAATGCAATTACCTTGCCAAATTTGGTAATCTAACATTTAGATATTGTAATGTTTAGATATACATTAGATGTAAATTTTGAGAATAATTTAGTGTTATTTAGTATTATCATATTTATATAGTATTATCATATATTTTTTTATCTTTTTTTCCGGTTTATATTCCATCAATTAGCACCATCAATAAGTAAGTTGGGTTGAATTTAAAATGTGAACATTTATGTATTTTTCTCCATAATGTGAATATATTATTTCCTTTTATATCCATATAAGATACATGTGTACTTTTGAGCATGTAATTACAATTGTTGCATTTATCTGACTTTATACAAATATTTATATGTCAAATATGTATCCCATAATTAGTTTTTATCCTTTTACTATATTTAATAAAACAAACTATTTACATTAACAGCATACATAGTTTGTTTGAGAACACTGATATTTGTTATCACATAATATAACAAATCTAACATGAATATCTACATGTGTACAAACGTGGCCTTTAATATATATGACATTTATCATATACATTAATTGAAAATTTATTTTTACGATACTAATGAATTCTGTTTTTATTTGTAACAGAACCTGGTGATCACACTAATACGTTGTACGGAGAATTGAAGGGTGCCTTCTCAGATCATTTACCTGTCCACACTGCCATGTTAATATCGTTGGATTCTTCGGAGGCACGGCGACATGTACCACAGAATGATCTTTCAGAAAACGCTATTGCGTTTGCCAATCAAATAATAACAGTTGCTGACTCTGTGATCACTAATATTGATCAAGATAAGTTATTAGCATATTATGGATTGAAAAACGATCAGCGTCCTGATGCGGCTAAAATAAAAGTTACTATGGATAAGCAAAAGAATAGTTTGATTGAAGGATTAGTGAGAAAAGGCTGTGCATTGGCGCGGTTGTATGTACATGGAACAAAAACTGGAGAGGGAGATGGATCTTTTGAACATTTACTTGAAAGTGTTACACATCATTGGCAAGAAGTACAGAAATTCGCTGAACCTACTGACAATAAGGTAAAAATAATATTATCATTATTATGTTTAAAGCTATTTTTTTGTAATGCACAAGAATAATATATATTATCCCTATAAAAGGGATTAATTTTTAAAGGGATAGGTAAAAATTTTTATGTTTTGTTAAAATTTTACAAAACATAAACATAACAGCATAACAAAGATTAGAAAAATAAAATTTAGTGAATATTTTTTATTAGTAAAAAGGGACATTTATTGATAAAAAAAATTAATTTTTACTTCTCCTTTTGAAAGAATGTAACTCCTCTGAAAGGTATATAAGAGTATATGTTTATATAAAAACTTTCCTTAATTTTCGACAAAGAATTGTCTATAATTTTTTGACGCTTATATATAGGATATACCTTATATACATATTTCTATTCGAATAAATATTAGATAATTAATAAGTGCATTAAAATGATAAATAAGATTTATTTCTATATCTTTTTTAGGTCATTATTTTATCTTTATGGCATGCACACATCAATAATCATTATGGACGTTATTTGAAATTATTAACACGCTATTATGAAGAAAAACCACTAAAAGAAATTGATGAAAAATGCATTGAAATTGCAAAGCTTCTGGGATGGGAACATTGGTCACGTCTTCTTACTACAAGTATACCAACACGTTATCCAGCTACATATAGATCATTCTGATCACTGGTGGGTACTGTTTATTTTAATCTTAAATTAAAAAATATATATAACATTAAACTTTATAAATTATAAATAGTATTTTTTTTATCAGTACATGTTCAATATACCTGTATGATTACCTGTTTGATTAAAACTTGAAGAAAGTTTAATTGGACGTTTCCTATGCTATGTAATACAAAACATGTATATTGCTTTCAGATTTAATAAGTCCAATGTGCGAATATATGATATAGAAGATTTATGAAAACAATTTCCAACACATCTTTATAATAACAGTGACAAACACAGTGACAAAAGGACAAAACGTTTATTTGAAACAGAAGTCAAGTGTAATATACATTTAGAAAAAAAAAAGAAAAAAATTAGTTTATTCATAATAAACTAATGATTTAGAAGACTAACTACAGTGCTGAACTGACTTAAAATAAATCATATTCGTATACACGCATATGATTTGCTTAATAAAAACTAATAAATTTTTATTAAAAATAGAAAATAAATTTGATGAAAATTTTACAAAAAATAAATATGAGAATGGTAAATGTTTTATTCGCGAAAATGAATATGTTGTTAATATTATAAAAGAAAAATTGACAATAAGGCTTTAATTTAAATAAGTACTTAATTTGAAAAAAATTCTATGTTTTTGATATTGCATTTTATGTCAATTTAGAAATTTAAATGTTTTACTAACATTGTGTTATATCAGTTTCTACATTATTATAACGTAATGTATCTTATTTGACTTTTATCGTATTTTTATTTTTACAGTAAATTATGACTACGTTCCGTTATTCGAATACTGGAAAGGTATTGTTATATCATAGATTTTCAGTACGTACAATTATAACCCAGCTCATAATGTGCAGTGAATAATAGAACGTACTCTATATGTAAATATATAAATATGTTTTTTGTTTTTGTATTCGTGGAATATACTTCTACTTTTGTGTTATCTTGGGCATATACAACTTATATAATATAACTAATCATGAATATATTATTAGTTTCATAATTGTGAAGTCATATGTTATTTACACGTGTAGCACAGACACTTTTATATCTTATAAAAAATATAATATCAAGGAATATGTATACATTCGCACGTGCGTAGAATTTCATATATTCTTTTTAAATGCTAAAGAATTATTCATAGGAACAATACGTTTTTTTTATAAAAAAAAAAATAAAATGGTGAAATTTATATCACTTTAAAGAAAAATCATTTTGGAATAATCGATCACTAAAATCAATATATATATCACTGCATCAAGAAACGTCATTATAAAGAGAAAATTAATGAATAAAATGTGTTTTGTTATCAAGTAATAATAATTAGTATTTAATAAATATTGAATTATATTTCTCTTGCTCTCATTCATTCTCGTATTAAATAAGTTGGAAATATTTTCTGGATAAAAATAGATTGTAAAGTACGATAGATTAAAAAAGTTGTATTGCTTTTCTCAATTGTGCAATTATTTAAACAACAAAACCATTTAAAAAGTTATTTTTAGTTGTCAATTATTATTTTAATTTTTATTTTCCTTCCCCAAAATGGTTTTCCAACTTATCAAGGCGAGCCATAGTAAACTAATTTCGTTATATATTACAAGTATTTTAAAATTATATTATATATACATAACATGAACTATAGTATAGATTTTCGGCACTAGCAGTATATCGAAACTTAATAACTTAAATCGATCGATTCAATTGCTTTAATGAATCATATAATTTGTATTTAATGAATGCAGCTATTTTTCATACAATTGTTTTCCATAATATACCACATGATACAATTATAACCCAACTATCATACAAAATTTTGGCATCCAAAATGTCTTGACATATATATACATCAAACCTTTTTTAGAAAAGACATAAATATGAATCATGAAAAGATGTATTTGGTAACAAAATTAATAAGTAATAAGAAACATATGGAATAATATGACTTTACCACCACTATTTAGCTGCCACTTTCCGTCACACATGAAAAACTGTTTTAATAACGAAGTAGATATATTATGGTATCAACCTGAATTTACACAAAGCCGTTATCCACCAGGGCAAAAACGTAATTATATTTTGTTATTTATATCAAATTGAAAATATCTGTACACACATACATCATAGTATCAATAACATTTATTTTTTGATGTACTGAATAATCCCCAGTAAGTGAAGCCTGTACTCTTATATGTTTACTTGTGGCTGTACGAATATCAAGAGGAAATGTATCAATTTGTGATATAGAAAACTGTTCGAGATTAAATATTATTGTGGCAGAGGCGATAATAGAAGGTAACGCTATTCATGCGTGGCTTATTAAGAAAAGGCTTATATCACATCCGTATTTGAATACCGAAGATGCTTTAAAGCATGGAGGCAAAAGCTTAAACATATTAAAAGAATGGGTATGATAGGAATATTTAAAATTAATTATATTCTAATACATATATATATATATATATATGTACACGCGTGTAAGTTTATTAATATTTAATTAAATATTATTGATTTATTATTCAACTGTATTTCTGAACAAATTGAAGAAATTTTGTGAATATATACATCTTACACTTGAATAATATATACATAATAACTTTGTCACAGAAGTTCAATATTTTTCATGAGGAGATAGAAACAAGCCTATATAAAAATATAAACATATTTTTACATGAATGGTACAAAAATCCAAAATGTCATACTTTGTTTATGCTGCTTATTACATGCGGACGTACAATATTATTTATATTTCAAGAAACTACTAGTAAGGTAAGCACTTGCAGCTAGAATCAATAGAAATCGATTTATATGGTAATCTTAATTATATATCCGTATTTTTTTAGTTGGTGATCGTCTAAATAAATAATCACATATAGCATGTTTTTTGTTTTAAACTAGATTTACCTTCTAAAATGTTAACACATACAATTAATAATCATCCTGTATAAATAAGACCTAAGTTTTATTCATAGGTCACGTTGTTCGATTCGCATAGTCACACTACCGATAACTCAAATCATGGATTGGTCATAGCTCAGGTAAGTAAATTTGAGACTTTCATGAATACTAAAGAATATAATATATAAAAATATTGTTTCTTTTAATAATTGAAAAAAATGTGATACAGACGACTATTGATAGATTGGAATCATTATGCAATTGGTATATTCAGGATGTACTAAAGAATTGTTACAATATACACGCTAATAAATACGAACTAGCTTTCTTATATTCTTATACACAATGCAATGGCCATAATAGAACTTTATGCGAATGTAAAAAATCTTGTAAAATGTAATCATTTTTGTAACTAAATACTGATATATTTTATTAATAATTATATTTCTTGCCGATTCTAAACTTATAAACAATAAAAATAAATTTTTTTTCTACTTATTAATAAGTAATACAGACACAAAATATAATTGTGGACTTTTAGCAGAACTTTTTATTTGTAATATTCATTTAAACACAGAGATAATATACACAAAATGTGGTGTATATTTATTCAGCAGTTTATTTAAACAGACATACTGAATAGATTAAGATTAATATATTTATTTACATTATGTACAATTTACTTTCTGTTTCTTCTAAGGCTGTTAAAACAATTTATTGTCTGTACAATGCTGACTACTATTGGAAAATTTATTCTCGGATATAAATTTCCTTACATTTGAATAATATATATAGTATATTCCTTTTTTAAAGAGTTTAGCATTGTGCAAACGTATATCCCTGGCGATATGTAACTACATACAATAATCAGTTTATATTGTTTTATATATTTGTTGAGATCTTCTTCGTCTATATTTCACATTATATTTGTAAAATATAATCAAAAACGCGTGGATGAGACAATTTTATTTCAAAGTTTTCGTCTCATAGTTTTATAATATATATATGTATATGTATATAAATGTATATGTACACATATATATAATATGTAGCTGCAATATTTGTATTTCCTAACAATTTTTCCAATTTACGATAATAAATGGATTTTTTACATTGTCTTTATAATTTCCACATGTTTTGTGTGGATAAAAATCTAAATATATTGTTGCGCTAAATTTTTATAGAATGTAGTTACAAGGGATAATGTCTAACATACAAAATGCCTACGATAAACTTGTTAAGAGAATCAAATCTGTAAAGAATATCACAAATGACTTTTTTATGTAACAATTCCATGAATGAACTTATACCGCATAATAGAAAATTAAAACTATTATATTAAGTTTATAAAAAAATTATATTTTGTCTCTAGAACAATATTATATAAAGTTTCATAAGTATATAGTATATAAGTAATCTTTTTTTCTAATATGTATATGAGAAATAAATTTCTCTTTATCTTCTCATCATTATAACCCGATTGAATATAAAAAAATAAATAGAATGATGCCGAAATAGTATAATGTCTAAAATACAGATTTCTTTCTCTTTTATGTTTTTATATACATTGTAAGTGTCGCGTAATAGAGTATCGTAGAATTTATTTAATAACAATTTTTTCAACAACGCAATTTCTAGAAATTACTATCTACAGGAACGTATGGACTAATTTCTCTTCCAATTTTGCTTCCGATACATTATTTTAAAAGAACGTCGAGTTTTTTTAATTGCTTGCAAATACTACCGATGGTAGTTGAGCATCTTTCTGTTATATTCCCACATGTAAATAAACATCTCACACATATTACTTTTGTACAATATGATCAATTTCAAGGCAATGCTTTTTTTCTTTTTGACGGTAAAGCAAAAGTTACAATTAAATTATTGTACAAATACCTATGTGGTTAGTAGATTTCACACAACTTGAACTTAATAAATAAGTAAATAACTATTATTTTTTTTAAGCAAACACTCAAAAGACTTCTCTCTTTACATATTTTAGTAAATAAAATTGTATCTACTGAAGCGATATATTGCAAATTGTTGAGAATGCATGTTACAAGATGCTATATAGTATATACTATGATTCATTATATCATGTGTATTAATTTGTCTCTAATCATTTTTAGAAAGTAAAATAGAGTCGTCATTGGAACAAAATATCATTTCAAAATCATCACAAAATAATTTATAAAATTATATATCTTTTGTAAACGAAATAAAGTTATCATGTGCGAGAATGTTGCCAAAAAAAAAAGAAAATCGTTAGAGAGATTGACGAACTCGAGGTTGCGCCCATTCTACAAAATCATCGATTAACACAGGCCAGGCACCCTCTTCATCATAATTACTCATGTCCGAATTGATCATAAGTGCAAAGTCTAATAATAAATTCCATGTGTCTTTTGGAATTGATCTTTTATGATGCTCCTAGAATACATCAGTTTATTATTTTAAAGTAACTTGCCAAACGTAAATTTAAAAGCAATATCCTAAATTTACTTACCTGTAAGAATTGACACCATAATTGAAGAAATTTAAATTTATCCTCTAATACAATATTCCAATATGCAATTGCCATATCCAAATCTAAGCCTTTCTGTCCCGCATTTTTTGCATAATTAAATGTGAAATGATAAAAATCCTTGAATTTTAGAGGATCCCTTAAATCATTTTCTAAACTACCTAACCGTGCTTTTAGCTTATCTATACTATCCACACTGAAAATAATTATGAAAATAATTATATTTGTATACACACGCCTGATGACGAAAAATGTAAGGCACATTCACAGCACATTCACTTTTGATTCAACCATCATAGATGTATGTTAAAGAAATTAATATTTACCCTAAGTCCACCATTCCATTCATAAATTCTTCTTTAGTGAATTCACATTGCGTTTCAGCACGAAATTTCCACGCAATGATTAGAACTAATTTACTCTCAGGACTTAAATTCAAATCATCAAGAAACTTCATGATACCGTCCGCAGTAATTTTATTAGGTTCACTTGGATCTATAATATAAAATTTATTTCATATAATATTAAACATAATTTAAGTAGACTAATGAATTCTCTTACTAATATATCATAACAATCTTACCTTGGTATTTGCTATACAATATTTCCAGTTTCTTTTTATCAACAGAATTTTTTGGTTCTTTATAATAAGCTTCTGGATTTTGGAAGTAATTATCGCTAGCGAGATCCAGTTTCCAATCATTTTGGGCTAAACAATATATTGCAGTTTGCTCTCCAGTTTGTGTAAACGTTATAAATTTTTTCACTTTGTCCCTTTGTGAAAATTTTAATTTATGCTGCAACACAAATAAAATGGTGAGTGCTATAAATGTCTTATTATTTATTTCATTATAATAAAAAAGTGACAGATAAAAGTGAAAGTGATACCAATACAATTCTGAAATTTATTATATTATAATTAAAGTATACTAATAGAATATTACTACATATATTAATACACAATCTTAATTTAATCAGGTATTTTGGCTGTCTGCAAGTCATTATATGTGCAAAAATGACAGCTTGTATTCAAAATACACTATGATATGTCAAGACAGTTTTGCGTTGCATCAAACAGCATTTTAACACAACCATATTTTTAAATAGGAGATAGCGGGGAAAGCAACGAAGTAAAATTTCACGTTGCTCCATCATCTCAGGTGACGAGGTCAGCGTGAACGTGAAAAATATCATTATAGCGCGTGAAATAGGTTATTCTAAAAACTCAAAAACGAAAGTGCGAAATTCCTGGATGAAGAGACAGACTGATTGGCTAAATAACGCGACATAAACGTCATGTTGTCAACGTACAATCGCATTTTTCTCGAATGCTTACCATTTTCCGGCTAATTTTAGGCCCCCGAAAGCCAAAATATTATTCCCCTCGCACTACGCTTGACATGGACATTGCATGAACATGCGCATGTTCGGCAAAAACCTCAGGAGACGCGAACATATCACGCGGATGCGCAACGTATCGTCGCGACGTGCCGCCAAACGTCGCTGGAGCAAACCCAGATACGAGGCGACTGGAGAGGCGACAACGAGCGGGCCGTTCGAACGTGATTGACGTGAAACACGCGGTTGGAGGAATCAGGGAGAGATTAAAAGAGATCGTCGAGTCTTTCCGAATTTCCGGGATTCCGCAACGAAGACACATGGATTGACGTCAGTAACTGGATAACTCTTGAACAGCTGCTCATGGTTCACCACGTCGCGCCGTTTCACATTTTCGGTATGCGATCTCGGGAGCATTGGGTGAATCGATGGTATACGCATACGCTATAATACGCTGGGTCCCACGAGAGCGGAGATATCAGATGGACGACTGCGGACGACGCGTATGCGAGTGAAACGCATCTCGGAACTCGGGACTAACCTCGATGCGACCGCGGACGATGTAGAATGTGAGACTCTGTTGGAAGTCCTCGTAGTCGTAGGATTGCTCCGGCTCGTGATCCGGGTAGCAGAAAAACGAAGGAGACCATGAGGTTGTGTAGGTTATCGATAGCACGATGATATGGTCTGATAAAGTCATCTCCAGGTTTAATTTTGATGTCAATTTCTGATGTGGACAGGTACTGATATTTAATAATGCGTTTATGTGCTCTTTATTCTTTAAATTAAATTAAATTAAATTGAGAAATTATAGATGAAAGCTATTTTTGTTACATACAAAATATAAAATAAAACTCATAAGATTATTTTATTAATGTCTGTCAAGTATCTGTGTAATATTGCTTGCAGAAGTCCATGAAAATGCTAGATGGAAGTATCCAGGATTTGTTAGACAGATGAAAACGCTTAGCAATTCCATATAATCATGGTGGGAAATACTTATGAGACACTTCCGTTCTATCACAATAGAACTGGGAGGGAGATGTGCCAATGGTTGACACACATTAAATTATCAAGGATAATCATTTTAACGTCTGTAATCTTATTTATTGTGCCATTATTTACGCATTACTATTTATCTAAGGTAATTAAAGAAAATTAAGCTCTTAAAAATTATTTGCTCCAGAATACTTTGCATTAACTTCAATTTAACTTTCAGGTAGAATCTGATACTCCAGATAGGGATATGTATAGAACATTTTCAACTCTGGAAGCTTTCGAGGATTTTACATCCATGAAAGCATCACAGCTGAAGATGAGAATAGAGGAAATGTTTCGTATAAAAATTTCAGTGAGCAATGAATTAAGAGATCTGAGTGCAAAGAGGCAAAGACTTCAGGGTGAAGTTAACAGTTTGACACAGAAAATAGACGAGCTGAAGCAAGAGTTACTGCATCAACAAACTGATCTTGATAGATTAAAAATAAGTGTGGAGCAAGCACAGGTGGCGCAGAAAGAGGCAGTGGAAAGAAACACGCCTGAATTAGCACCACCTAAGAGAATATTAATTAACACCCTGCCAGTTACATTATCTACCACTGATCCAAGATCATGTAGAATGTACAATTGTTTTGATCATAGTCGATGTGCACTGACAAGCGGTTTCCCTGTGTACTTGTATGATCCAGATCAATTTTCGGTAGTTAGTCCAGGATGGGATGTAGACGGCTTCTTAAAAACAACTATTAAACAAACGTTAGGTACGTATTTAAGATGTAAATATTTACATTATGAAGCATTTATTTGCGATAAAACTTATTATATACAAAAAATTGTAGGATATAATCCGCATCTTACTAGAAATCCAGCAGAGGCATGTATATACATAGTCTTAATTGGTGAAGCATTAAGCCTCCATCAAAAGAGTGATCAACGTCATAATAAAGCTTTAGATATAAAGAAATTACAAGCACTTCCCTATTGGGGTGGTGACGGTAGAAATCACATATTATTAAATCTTGCACGTAGAGATTTATCTGCAGATTCTGGAAATATTTTCAGTAATTTGAATACTGGCAGAGCGATAATAGTACAGTCAACATTTTATAGAAACCAATTCCGCGATGATTTCGATTTAATTGTTCCACCAATTCTGGGACCACCTGGTGGAGATGTTTGGCAAGAATGCGCACAAATGTTACCTGCGAGAAGGAAATATTTGCTGTCATTCCAAGGAGAAATGAGGACTTTTATGGGTACACCGATGACATATCAAATTGATGACACAGATGTAGATATGGAAAAATTAATAATTGATGATAACAATATAGATGCCTTTATTATTCAATATTTAAAAGATATGAGCAATGGAATAACTTTGGATAAATTTTTCATTCAATTTGAATGTATACCAGCTTCTATGGAGAGTAAGCCTGTAGAAACTCTTGATTGGTCTCTTTGTGGAACTGATTCGTCTAGAAGAGCTATATTAAAGGAATCAACGTTTGCATTGATCTTAGCTCCCAGTAATGCTACATTATTGACTACTTCGTTCATGCAAGCAAGATTGTACGAAGCATTGCGAGCTGGATCGATACCAGTCATTCTTGGTGGTGATCAGATTTTGCTTAATTATAATGAAGTTGTTGATTGGAGGAGAGCAGTTATTTTTCTACCTAAGGTAATTTTTATATTAATATATTATCACAAATTTGTGTTTTTGATTATTAAAGTGAAATTAATGGAATATATCATTATTTAGGCTAGAGTGACTGAAATGCACTTTTTACTGCGTGCTGTTCCTGACAACGACCTTTTGACTATACGGAGACAAGGTAGATTGATATGGGAACGTTATATGAGTACTGCTCAAGGTGTAGTGGATACAACCATAGCAGTAATAAGAGACAGACTTGGTATACCACCACTACCAGCGTCTCAAACACCCAGCCCTAGTGTTTTTAACGAAAGCTTTGTGGTACGTATTTTAATGTGACACACTTTTCTTATTAAAGTATATGATGTATGTACATTTTAACATAACACATTTAATTTTGTAACTTATATTATTTGTTTTTTGTAAAAGCCTTTAAAATCGGATGCTATTATTGCCGAACCGGAAGCTGAAGAAAGTTTAGGTCCTCTAGAACCGCCGTATCCATCTCCTGCTTTCAAGAGAAATTATACAACACTATTAGTTCAAAACCATGAAATTTGGAATGATTGGATGGATCCATTTAATTTGTATCCACAATTACCTTTTGATACTGTTCTTCCCAGTGACGCTAAATTTATTGGTAAAATTATTATTTCAGAGATTATTATACAAGAATTACATGTTATATTTATATCGTTTTATTTTTTCATAGGCTCAGAAGTAGGCTTTCGACCTATTGGCAAAGGTGCTGGAGGTGCTGGGAAAGAATTTAGTGAGTCATTAGGAGGAAATTATCCAAGAGAACAATTTACAATTGTTATGCTAACTTATGAGAGAGAACAGGTTCTTATAAATTCATTGGCACGTCTTTATGGCTTACCTTATTTAAATAAGGTACTTGTGGTATGGAATAGTCCGAAACCACCTGTAGAAGATCTCAAGTGGCCTGATATCGGCGTTCCTATACATGTAATTTTAATTTATTATCTATAGAATCTTTATTCATTTTTAAAGATTACATATTAAAATATATTTTTTAAATATATTTTGACAGGTTATAAAAGCTCCAAGAAATAGTTTGAATAATAGATTCCTGCCATTTGATGCAATTGAGACAGAAGCCGTCCTTTCTATTGATGATGATGCTCATTTGAGACATGATGAAATCATGTTTGGTTTTAGGTAAGTCAATATTTCAGTCTTCTGATTTCATATATTTTTGTTATTTATTAACGTATATTTTTAGAGTATGGAGGGAACATCGAGATCGTGTAGTTGGATTCCCTGGTCGATTTCATGCATGGGACCAGAATTATCACAACGCTTGGAATTACAATTCTAATTATTCTTGCGAGCTATCCATGGTTTTAACTGGAGCTGCTTTTATTCATAAACATTATACATATCTGTATACACATTGGTTACCACAAGCGATAAGAGATAAAGTTGATGAATATATGAATTGTGAGGACATTGCGATGAATTTTTTAATATCTCACCTTACAAGGAAACCACCAGTTAAAGTAAAGACATTATACATATATTTTAAAGAGAAAGTATTTATTTAACATTACTCTATTTTAATATTATAAATTAAAACTTTTTTAATTCAGATTTTATAAAAATGCTTTGTTACAACTTAAACATTTTGCAATGTAATATTTCTCTTTGCATTTTAATTATACGATTAAACTTATATGAATTTATTAATGTATAATGCAATAAAATTAAAATATTTGTTTGTTTATTAGGTAACATCACGTTGGACATTTAGATGTCCCGGTTGTCCAGTTTCACTTTCAGAAGATGATACTCATTTTCAAGAAAGACATAAATGTATCAATTTCTTTTCACAGGTAAAAAGATTTAATTATTAATTACTTTTACGTTTTTTTCTTTATTATATTTAAGTATTCTAAATTATTATTATTTAAGTAAATTTGTCAATTTTTACTTAATATAATTAATGATTTTAGGTTTTCGGTTATATGCCTCTATTAAATACACAGTATCGAGCTGATTCGATATTATTTAAGACACGAATACCACATGATAAGCAAAAATGTTTCAAGTTTATATGAAAAGGAGATACATTAGAATTTTTATGTAAATATTGTAGAATAGGATTTGTACAATTTTTATATAATTTTATGCAACTCACAACTTAAAAACTATCATGTCGAATATTTTACAAAATACATGTAGTAAACATAAGGTACAGTAAAGAGTTTAATTATAATAAGTTAAAATATTATTAAATTGAATGATCAAGAAGTAGACAAATATTAAATGTTATTCTTTTAGTTTTTATAAAACATTTAATGATTACAAATGAAATCAAAGTAATTCTATGAGTAATATTAGATAAAGTAAATACATTATTGTGTAAATAATTCTTTTTAGCTTTAAATTTTTTAACTAATATTTAGCAACAAAATATTTAATGATTTAGAAAGATGTTTATTTTGTAAATATTGTATTAATATTAATGTACTATGCATATATTAATATAGTTTACTACACATATTAATATACTCTATAAGTGCACTGAAATATAATTTTCTTTAATATACTATATATGAGAATATGGTGTATTAATAAATTACTGTCAATACTGCCGATTAGACTTATAATAATGTACATATATATATAAGATAAAAAAAAATTAAAAAATGATATAATTTTTAAACAAATGAACAAAATTATATTTTATGTATATATATATATATATTCAGTAATGATTATTTATCATTATAGTTATTATATAAAGATAATAACTCTAAATAATTATTATCTTTATGTAATTGATAATTTAATTTCATAAAGGCTGGAAAGAATAAATATAATAACAAAACAATTTGTTTTAAAACTTTACACTGATTTTTGTATTGTTAATGTTAATTTGATTGTGAATTTTATTTTATAATTATATTGTTAATTTTTATTAAAAATATGTTTATATAAAAAAATTGTAATATATGATATATATATGTTTATTTGTGTGTATATATATATGTATACATATTTTAGTTGGCCAAATAACAATTTAAATCATATAATTATAGAAAAGCTGCTTGTACATTTTAACAAATCTTTACATTTCTTTTTAAAAAAATTTAAAAAAATTTTTTAAGGATCTTGATTGCTTTATATTTAATGGAAACATCACATACAAATATTTGTTTGTACAGTCTAATAATACAGTCTCACTATATATATATATATATTTATGTACAATATATATATATATATATATATTTATTGTACACAACTATTTTTTATTTTATTTGTATTATCTATGTATATTTTTAAACTTTCTTATTTTTTTCAGAATATGAAAATGTGAAAAAATATACGTCTATTTAAATTTATATTTAGCGTATAAAAAATAAATTCAATATAATATTTATATCTATATAATAATTGATTATATATTAGAAAACAATTTTGTACAAAAAAGTAATTTTTATGCATGATGGATTGATTTTGCACACAAGAGTTTTAAATTATTATTTCTTTTTCAACTCATTTTAAAGCTGAAAATAAAATTTAGTCTATAATAAATATACAGTGTGCTTGTCTATAGTATAATGTAAGTAAATAACGGTATAAATAAATAAGATGCATTTTATAGACTGCATAGAATAAAATTTATCATATTGATATTACTAATAAAATTATATTTCATGAAGAATGTTACATGGAATATGTATATAGATACTAAATGACCAATATCTTTGAAGTTTAAAATTTTCTATTCTTGACGCAACTGAAACTTTCAAAATCCTATCCAAGTGCAAGCAAATTTCAAGTTAATGTGACAAGTGATCGTTATTGTCTATATTATGAAAAAAATTGATTATAAGAAAAATTAAGTTTTAAATTTTGTTTAGATTTTTTGCATTTTATTTATATCTTTAACATTAATGTCATGTTTTATTTTCATGTAATAATTAATTACATTTTATTATTATATGCATTTTCTATGTAATTTATGTGCCAAATTTTTTATAACTGTGTGTGTGAAATGATTGTATAGTATAATAAGAGTATATATAAAATAGTATATATAAATAAGAGATAATGTTAATGGCACAAGTTTTTAAATATATCTATATTTAGTAATATCTATATCTAAATATTTCTAAGAAATTTATTAATTATTGTGTGACATCGTTAAAAAATAGATGATTCAATAAATGTTATTTGTTTAATGATGTAATGAATTCTGTGTAGCAGATAAGTAATGTAAATGATTGTTCTGTATATGCTTTGTATTATTTTATATACATTATGTCGTGCAAATGTATATCATATATCTTCATTCTTTACTCATTCACGTGATATAAAAATTTGATTGGGTATTTTATAAATAAAAGAAACATTTATTCGACAGGTAAATCAATGAATATATAAATGTGACACATAAAAATCTAATAGAAATAAATTAAAATACATTCCATTTTCTGCAATATATATAGGTACGTATTTTTTTGTTACGCTTTTCAATATCTGCTATTATTCTATTTTAAAAGAATATATTTTGCATGTAAATTTTTTATAATCAATTTGCATTTTTTTTGTCGTTTTTTTATAGGACTAAACATGTTTTTTTGTTTTATCTCACAGGTAGCAAGTAAGTGTAACTCCTGCATCAGACATTGGCTACATTCTGAACTTCGTTACTTGTACTGAAAATCTATAATATACGTTACATGCACTATAGATTTCCAGCTCTGGTAGCGAATATCGGAACGCAGTCATTGCTGACGTGCAGTAGTAAACACGCCGCAGTAGTGTTACATATATATAGTCAGACATGTACTGGTAGTAGTATTATACCGCGCTGCGCACATCAAAAGTAGCGCACCTTAATGTTTGCATCGAACGTACTATGTTTGTAGTTTTATACTGTTCAACAATGACTTCGACATTGTTACATATTTATATAATTCGTACACATACAATAAATTCGTAATTGTAACAATTCGTTCATTAATTACGCATTGCAGATAAAGCAAGCATATAATACAACGGTGAAAAAGGGGTCAGCCTCTTCCATTTATTCTTCGACTTTGGTTTTCAAAATGCAGAGATAATTATGTTTATTAAAATCATTCTAGTTGAAGAATGAGAGTTCATTAATTTTGACATAATTGGATCGAATTTTAATTTTAGAGATATGGGCATTATTACATCAATGTGTAGTAGAGTTTCTTCGCGACATTTTGACTGCTCGGAGTCGCCCGTATTGGCGTTTTATCGAAAAGAAAGAAAAAGAAGTTCTCGACACCATCTCATATGCAGTCACGTGGTGGATATATACGAAACTTTGGCAATGTTGAAGAAATGGTAGTCGACTGGTTACCCGATGGCGCGCTTCGGCCATCAGAAGTTTCTACCATTAGAAGTCGCATGTCGGAACCACGATTCCCTGGAAGTGATTTATCGAGAATTCCACGTGGAATTATACGAACAACCACGGTAACTATACAGCATCCATCGCGTGTGCTTCAGTTTATGCTCTTGCTTTCATATCACGTTTTCATTTTCCAATGCGAATGGAAAGTGTGAAAATCATACGTCTTTAACGTAGCGTAAAATACGTTTTTTTTCACTAATTCTCCATAGATTGTTATAACAACAAAATTACGCAACGATGAAGCTGAGTTTACGGGAATTTTCTAACGTTACAATTTTAGCTTTTACGTGGCCGTCGAAATCATATCCGCGTAATGTGCGGAAGATAAAGCTGAATGGAATCTGAATGGCGCTTAATACTATATAGAACCGCCGATGTGATCTCGCTCGAACTGCTGAAGATGCCAATATGGTAATTTCCTATTTTTATTTTCAGTTAGTGAAAAGTTATTTTTGATATTATCGTTAGAATTATTTGCTTTATATTTATGTTTTTTCAATATTTTGTATATTCAATAGCAAAAAGTTATTTTAATATTATTTAACGTATTACTTAATAAATAATAAACTGAATTTAAGTCAAATTTAAGTAATACACATTTTAACGAGTTGAATTGTTTAACTTTATCGTTTTAAATTAAGTAGGTGCAGTGTAGAGATTCTTACGAAAAAATTGATCGAGTGTCAATATAGTTATGATAGCTTCCGGTTATAATTTATTAGCACGCAAATCAAAAATAGTTATAATATTTAATCAGTAAAATCTGTTAATCTTTGGATTCATTTAGAAAGAAGAATATTTAACTGTATACACGTTCCATTTTTTTTACATTTAGTGATCAGATATGTGAAATATGCTCTATTTACAGAAATAATTAAAAATTTCTCAAATCGAGTGTAATTTAACATTATGAATTTTAATAATGTTTCTTCTTATTGTTATTTTTCTGAATAAATTTTTTCTGGTTCTTAACAGGATCCGTTTTTAAATACAGCGCCACATGGTCGCGATCAAAAGTTTGCGCCAGATTGGTCCACTCGGCGATCAATACGGCATTTTCCGCGACGTAAGTCGCGTCCCGTTTGCCTATTGGTCAGAACATACGCCGCAATCCTATTATTTATTAAGTTCGCGCGAAGATGCGATATTCGTCAGGTACCATCTACCACCGATTGTGGGACGGCAATTGTGATCGACGCAACGGAGATTAATTACAATTGCACGAAACCGGGGCGTATCGCTGCTCGACTGACTATCGCGCTTCAAAGTTGTCTTTCTATTTTTCCCCTCTTTAACATCGTTCATCACATACGCGAAATTGGAATCCGTACGCACCAAATGTATACAGTGCGCCTCAAATAAACCCTATGCCTTTTCCCTCTCTCTATTATATATATTAATATTCTTTGGAGAATCTCTTAAGTTAAATTTAACGAGAATATCATTAGAAGTCATTTTTAAAATTATATTTCCGCAGCAGTTTGTTATTTTTGAAATTAAAAATGTTCTTTAAAGAATTCTTAAATACAAACTTTACATAAATATAATTAATATATTATATTTAAAAAATTAAATAACGGTCAGGATTTTTAAATATATTTTTATATGTTGCTATATATATAATCTACATTTGAAAAATTTGTTGCATAAAAGATGTTTAAGGGTGAAATAATCAACGCCTTGACAGTGAAACGATAATCATTTTTTCCAATGTAGCTCTTGACAAACGATTCGAAGAAAGCGCAATTTCTAAGTCACCCCGTATATCGTTACGGACGAGGGAATGGAGGAGTAAAGCTCGGTTCGCGCAACTGCGGTCGCACACAAGTGTGATAAGGCCACCCTCCCTTGGATAGAGGTCTCTCAGCGAGCGATATACGTACAACTAGCGAAGGGCAGCTCGCGAGGAACGCGGGCTCGCGCCTCGGTGTCATCGTGACGATCCCGACAGGAAGTCGATTCGCGACCGGAAATTAGCCCCGTTCGCGTCCCGCCCGTCCCGTTCTGCGGTCGTAGCAAGAGAAGGGTCGCGGGAAGTAGGAGCACAAGAGAAGAGAAGGAAGAAAGAGAGGGGGGGAGGGAGAGCCCAGCAGGGAGATAACACGAAAGAGAGAACGAGAGAGAACGAGGGAAGCAGTCAGGTGGTGGTGGTGGAGAGAGAAAGAGAGACAGAGAGAGGGATCACGTACAGCCGCGAAAAGGGGAGTGGCGGGACAGTTGGGGGTGAGAAAGAGACGGAGAGTTTACCACCAGTGGTACCGAGCGCGAATACTATCCCCGCGAGTCGACGTGGCCGCGAGACACCCTCGTCGCGAGAGGGTGTGCAGAGAGGAGGGGAGAGGAGAGACGAGAAATAAACGCATTCGCGGGTCGCATTCCGACGTCGCATCGAAGGGAGGGAGTGAAAGGGCACCGCGCGGAAGTGAAACGTTCATAAGCCGGTGACGCGACGCGACGCAGCGCAGTGCAGCGCAGCGCAACGTAACGCAACGCAGGACAACGCAGGGCAACGCAGAGCAACGCAACGCAACGCAAACGCAACGGCGTCGTGACGCGACGCGGGGTGGCCGCGAGTGCGCAAGCACCCTCTCCATCGCTCGCCGTGCGTGTGACAAGTGTCCGACCGCGCGTTCCGCTCGCAAAGTTCCTCGCGGCTCGACGCGGAGCGCACGAAGCAAGTGTTGCGCCGCGGAGGAAGTGTTTTGTACTCGTGGTATACCCAAGAGAAGGGTGTTTAATCTTGTGACGACGAGGCAGGCAGCCTCATCTACGTGGGCGTTCTCGCGGCGGCTGTTGATAACGGGTCGCGGTGTCGAGGATACAATGAGCGCGACGTCGCAGCGATGATACCACCAGCTAGAGGAGCACCGAACTTGTTGGAGCGATAGACAACCCTCGACTCCTCGTCGCATTATTGTCAGCTGGAGAAACAGTTGTCGTGGGTGTGTAACCGTCCGCTCGGGGACGATCGACTGCGTGGGCGTCGCGCGGCGGCCGTTAGAGGCGCGCCGAGAAGCGCCATTGTCGTATCGGCTGCCACGTGAATCGCAAGCAGACTTCTCCTCGAGCGAGATTTGTTCGCGGAGATCGCGCGAATCCATCCGTCGAATGGACGTGCTCCGATATTCATCGAGCATGTCCCTCGCGAGCACGGTGGGATCCAGTTAACGAAACGCGGTGATATATCCTAAGGGTCCAGTGGTTGGGATGACGCATCGCCTCGTCGCGGTGTCCGGAGGATAACGGAGCGGTGATCCATAGACAGACGTCGAGAAGCGTTCGAGAGTATCAGCAGCGCAGCGGCGAGGCACGGCAGTGCGTGTTCGACCTCGCGAAGATCGAGTCGCGCGAAAGTGGAGTCCTATTTATCAGCGCGGCGGCAACCCAGTGACCCGTTTTCGTTTTCAATCGATGCGGTTCCAAAGAGTTTCGAAGGATCGGAGGGACAGAAGGGCGCAGCCATTATCTAGCAGCAGAGTCCAACCGATATCAAGTCAAGTTACCACCCCGTCGCCGTGTGCGGAATCGCGCGTTGATTAGATCGTACGATTAGGAAGTCGAGAACTACTCCCGTAACCCCCGAGACTCTATAATTATCCCCTCGACGGTGAAGGACGGGCGAATAAGCGACGTCCGTGAGAGAGATCGAGGATATCACGAGGATATCACGGACCTTCGGTGCGAGATCGCGTATCGTCCGATGGTGCATTCGGGCAGCGCAGCGCGTGAGGCCGGGCTGCAAGAGAGAATGCGAGGGCCTCCTCACAGTCTGTGAACATGATTTGTCATACACATGCGACGGGCAGTAATCGTACGACGAGAGACACCGACGACGACGAAGACGACGAAGACGACGACGACGACGACGACGACGACGAGGAGGAGAAGAAGGACGACACCCGACCACTCCGCGGCCATGCCACGAGCACGCTGCTTTGTGCTCGCATGAGACCAGCCCGACTACTGCCCGATTACCATTCCAGCACTCATCATCAGCAGCAACTGCAAAGGCTGCGACAGGGGAGAAAATTCGTATCGCGCCAGACATCGACCGGCGTGAAATCTAAGGACATCTACTACCGCCTTCCCTTATCGTTATCCCGTAGCGTAAAGGAGGCCACACCGAAGTCATCGACCACGATCACGGAGGAGGTCCCGCGTCTCGATTGGCGCGACCTGCGAGTGCAACGTACCGCGAGTGCCGAGTCGACGACGGCGACGACGACGACGACGATAACGACGACGACGACGACGACGACGACGACGACGGCGACGACGGCGACGGTGGTGGTGCAACCGTCACGACGACGACGACGACGACGACGACATAACCCCGGTGCGCTCGCGTTCCCGCGTCGTTGCGGTGCGGTGGTGCGGTCAACGGGTGTCGGATGACTTCCCCAGGCCGACAGACGTGTTTCGTAGTCGTAGAAGGTTATTATATATCGTCTCGGTCGTTATATCCCGTAACGTCGAGAGCCGTCGTAGAAGAGGCGCGTCTAGGGTGCAGCCTCGTCGGAGCAACGTTAACGTCCCGTCGACGTCGACGTCGTCGGTGGTGCGCCGGCCTGCCTACCCGCGTCATACCCACGTCGCATACCCCGTGCACGCGCGTACATCGCCACCACCGTGATGGCGGAGCTACCTCAGCCCGACATGTCGCACCTCACCCCCGAGGAGAGGCGCATCATAGAGGGTGTTTTAATGCGCCAAAAGGAGGAGGAGGAACAGGATCATGAGATTATGAGGTACGCGACTATATGCTAATTATACATGTACTTTGCCAACATTTTTCTTGAATGACTTGTGGACACGTGGAAATTTTCTCCAACTTCTTACGAAGAAATTTTAATAGAGAAATAGAGTAAATTGTACACACAACTAATAAGAGTCGAAAGCCCGTAACGATCACGAACTTGATCTTATATAGATGCTTAAATAATTATTTAAGCACCTACGGGGTCTTAATAAATCGATCGTTTATTATTAAATTGTATGTACGATGTCTTTCGCATATGGTAGAATAAGTTTATTTATGAAAAGCAGCACAATAAAAAATCGAGCAAAAAAATAAAACTGAAATACCCGCAGAATATAAACTAACAGTAACATTGTATCAATTAATAAATGAATTAGAAACGGACTTGATCAAATAAATAACAGAAAAGAAGGCTAAGCTGTTTAATACTAGAAAATTTAATCTTTATATAAAAATCAAACACGCAAACGTTTCAATCTGTATTAGGTTATTTCAATATGAAACAAATTAAAAGATTAAAACGTAATGTTGATCTGTATATCGGACATAAAATCGACAGTTAAAACTGTATAATTATAAGCGTGTATAATAAAAAGTAATTAATTTGCGTTTAGAAACATGTTCGCTCGCAATTCTTGCGGGTAGTTAATAATCGCGCAGTTAACACTTCATAAAAGATTAAAAAATTTGTCAAATCGTAATGTACAATTAATAAAATTCGCAGTAATGGTAAACATTGCTTGGCTTATAGCATTTTATTAATGTTATAATATCTTACTCGACAATATAAAGTATTATGTACAACATGTGTATATTATATTACATTTATATTGTTGGATAGGAAATTATAATATTGATATAATTTTACTGTTAATTATGTCCTGCGGATAGAGAGTCATTGTGACATGAAGTCTGTTGCGTATCAGTTCCGAAATATGCACAGTATATTATATGCAAAAAAGAAAAACACATAGAAGGTTAATGATTTAATTGACAACGTATAATTTTCAAGATATGAAAGAGATAAAGATAACACAACGTGCACACAATGATCATTTTATTCATTTAATAATATATAAAATTTTGAATCTGAGAGAAAATTGTAAACAATTAACGATCACTAATAATAAGTAATAACCAATAGGTAATCAATAATAAATAATTAACAAGTAATTATATTATTTTAACTAAATAGTGTACGTGAATTCAATAATTGACGTCGCTTTTCTTCATTTATGTCACTCAATAAAACGCTAAATAACGAAGTCGAAATATCATTATAAGCTCGGTACTAAAAACTTTTTTGCTTTCTCCAGTGATAATATCGCATTTTAAAGCGAGAATATACGTTGAGGTTTTTTTTTTTATCGCTGCCACATAAGCGTGATTCGCGCGTTGGATTCGAAACTATCGATGAAGTATTGTTTTACAAGCAGAACGCGCGAGCTTTCACACGGGTATTTAGGACTCTCTATTGCATCGGATATTGCCAGGCTGGTTAAATGCCTGTAATAACATTCACGTACCGTGATGCATGTGGCCGGTATTGTCCTTCGCGCTTTCGGTAATTGTGACCATTTTTATTCCCATTGCCGCAAATAAAACCGTGAAACTGTATAGCGTCAGATGAACACTATTGAGAGCGTCGATATTTTACTCAAGTAAAAGTTTGATGTATCGTGTTCAACGTTGATGCGGAACACTTAAGCGGATATACGTAAACATCTTTGCGATTTCTGGATTTACAAAAACTTATTTTTTTTCACATCATTTCAAATTTGGATAGTTTAGCTATATTTGAATGTGAAGATTAATAAAACTAATCAATAGATATTTTTATATACGAAGTTCTGAATTTATTTGTGATTTATTCGAACGTATTAATACACTCAAAAGTGTGCATTACGACGAAGGTAATAACTTCAACTGTAATAACGATATCTATTTTAACATTATTGGATCAGTGATAACCGCCAAGGTCAAGCCCTCGACCAAGTTTAAAAGTTATCGGAATTAGGGATAAAAGATATTAATGGTCAGACCAGCAGCGCAGCGCAAAAGTTAGGGTAGATGAAGGCGCGAAAAAAAAAAGTGAGACGTCGTTCAGTTGGTTTTTATCGCAATTGGCAGACGCGGACGAAACGACAACCGATCGATTGGATAAAGGTATCTTGACCAATGAGTCTGCTCCGGATCGTTTCACCTATTTTCCCGGCTCACCTGCTCATTAGTCCTTGACCGCTTTACACCTACATCTTCCATTTATGTATCCACGGCCCCGCACATGCTCCCGATTACCACGTCGGCTCTCTCATCTCTTTTGTATCAAGCGCGGTCAGAAATAAAAATCGCTTATAATTGTGTCTTCGACGTCCGCAAATATTCTCGCCCTTGTGCCGCCTTCGCAGCAAGGTTCTGCGTCTCAGGTGACTCGTGGCATCGTGCGATCGACTTGTCGAATGTGTCGGATGTAACGTGGATGTACATGCGATCGATTGCGATCGGCCTCGCCATATCGCGGTGATAAAAATAAGGCGGCCGATTCGTGCTCCGCTTATCACGGGGGACGCAGAGGCGACGACTGGACCGGTGCGGCGGCGCGACAGCGGTGTGCGTAATTGCGCGAACGGAGACCGGCGTTCTACCCATGGTGGCTAACAATAACTGTAAACGAAGAGGAGGAGGGAGGGAGAGAGAGAGAGAGAGAGAGAGAGAGGGGGGGGAGGGGGGAAAGGGACAGCGGGCGTTGCGCAGTGAACAGGTTTTATTGATAGGTCGTCGCGACCGAGCGAAAAACGGGAACGTGAGAACGAAGGGAAAGAGTAATGAGGAAAGCGTGCTGTGCCATACCGATGCGCACGAGATCATGTAATGTAGACGACAAGTACGTGTAGAGACGCATGTAAAATGCAAGGCGACGAGCCTTGACGTGGCGTAGTAACGAGCTGCTGCAGCTGCATAGGGTATGCATAGGTGTACGCGACCATAGTTCGTAGAACGGGGTGTGAAAGCGTTTGGATTGGCACGGTAAATTCTTGGAGGGTGAAATATTGTATGTACGTCTTGCAGACAGGTAGCACGTAACCGTCGGCGGTGAAGAGTAAGGCGAGAGAGGGGGATAAAGAAATGCAAATATGTATCAGTGAATAACTATAAAATAGGCCAGACTCGCGAGAAAGTTCAGCCGACAATTATCGCCTTCGCGCTCTGACTCGCCGTTCACCAGCGTCTTCGATTTTCGAAAGAGTATGGGTAAATAAAACGATTTTTCCGAGAGAAAGATAAATTACCCGTGGTTCCCGTGAAACAAGACGATGAATGTGCATTTCGGCAAATCGGAAGTCGTTTCCTTTATCGAGCATTAACGTTTTATTGGTCTTTGTTTTATTTTATAGATATCTACGATCGCACGATGTATGCGATATTTGTATGATCCTAAAACGCTAAAGTTCCTCCCTTGTGATCTTTTATTTTGTACTGAATGCTGTTACATCAGGTCGTTACATGGATTATAGTAAAATGATATTATTGTCGCAATTGTACGTATATTAATACGTTAGGATAAAACATAAAAGACAAATCCGCGAAAGAGAAAAAATGTATTGCATATTATAGCCATTGTCGTCCTGGCAATTTAAATTGAGAATGGAAATCTCTCTTTGTTCAAGAATTAAATTAGTAAGAAGGTTTAATTTTTTTGCAACTCAAGCAAAGTTTATGATAAATGAAATATTATTATTATTTTATAAATATCTTTGTTTTATCGATGTTGATACTTGGAATCTACCTCGATGTAGTATACATCAAAGATTGAATTACAATATTTCGTCATACACGCTAGCAGCATGAGAAAGTTACACAAAATTACTGGGGATATATCTGTGATACTTCATCTGTACAAGCTTCTTTTTAACCCCTTCATGTCGACGGGAGAGCAGTTTCTTGCGTGTCGCGACCTTTCCACGATCGCTCTTAACGCAGAAGTGGGAAAGTCTTGTGCGACTCTTTGTCGAGTGTGATCACCGTTGCGTGCGCGAGTCACTCGATTATCGGTAAAGTAATTAGAGAAATATAGGTATATAGATGCGGTGTAACTTCTCCCTCTCCCCTCGTTGTAACACAACGCGCCGGCTTTTGTTCTATCGACAAACTCAGGATTTGGGTTACGGTGTCAGGATGCGTGGCGCGGCTGTCTCCTTTATTTGACAATCGGTCAAGGGGATATAAGGAGATTTAGTTTGTATGTCTTTTTTCCCGATTGTTCAGGATTCACGCTCGCAATTTTACCCAGTTCCAAAATTCCGTTCTCCGATGTTTAGTCGATTTTTTCGCGGTATCGTATAGCGTGTCCGCTGTACCTTTCTATTATCGGGGTGGAGCTGGTATACGTCGCAATGCCAACAACCCCCGATTCCAAGCTCGGCAGTCCGATTCGCCACTGCGTACGTGATCCAAGATATAAATTCTAAAAATCGCTGCAACGTGCCGTCAAGGTGCTCACCTATTTCTACGTGCAGCTACGACTGTAACTACGACTTATTTGCTAGTCCAGCGTCATTCATATATTATAGATTTGCACATTGCAAGAGTACATGCACCTACACTTATATCTGAGATTTGGTGCATTGGCAAGTGGTTTTATTTGATCTTGCTGATCAACGAGTAGGCTTTTCTTTTTTTTTTTAAACATAATTTCTATCTTCAATCCGTTCATAAATATATATATATCTATTTGACATAGGTATATACATACATTGGCGGATCTGGAAATTTGTGAAGAGGAAGGAGAGCCATCGACACATTGCAAATGAAATTTTTTTTAAGATCAAATATGAAAAGATAGAATATTAAATTATTATATAATTATATTACACATTGAAAGATACTGTTTAAATATTATATATAATTTATAAGATATTTTATTTTTAATTATATTAAAAAAGAGAATATACACAAAAAGAGAATAATAAATAATAGAATAATGAAATCTATGTTTTTTATATCTAGGAATTTCTTAAACTAAAAGATCTTTTTGGAATATTCTAAATCGTGATTAAGCATTTCAGAAATATTAAAAATGTATAACAATTCATATATTCAAACATAACATATCAAGATAATTTTTTTTTATTATTCTGTACATTATTATCAATGTATATGTTTCGGTTGCCTTTTTTTCAACCATTTTTAAGATTCCAAATACAAAAGTTATAGAAAATTATATAATAGAAAATTGACAAAAACATTAAAAAATTGAAAATTAATAAATCGCAAATGAAGGTACATTCCAGTAAAACATGAGTGATTTTCTATTTCTTAATATGTGAACGCTTCTTCTTTAATAGTTTTATGACTGATAAAATCAGTTTTACTAAGAAAGGTGCACCTTCATTTTATTTCGATTATCATTTTCACGAACCTTGTATGATTATAAAATTGTCGTTCGACGTGTCTCTTTGTGAGCGTCTACAGCTCATTTAATAATTATGTATAGAGTGATAATAAAAAATAATTGAATCAGAAACACATAAATGAGAACCGTAGCTCTCATTTGTTTGTTATGTTTGAATATATGATTTTTTTTTAATATTGAGAGAGAGTTCTAATATAAGATTTATATTGTTGGTATAAATATATAACATTCTGCTAAAAATATTGTTTTAAGTGACTCCAAGGGAAAGGCTATGATCCTCATGGCGGCTCCTCGCCGTGGATTCATTAGTGAGCATACATTCATGTACATACACATATCATAATTTATGTATATATATACATATTCATGTACACACACATAGAAACATAATTAGATTGTTAAGCATGATATGATTAAAGATATAATGATTTTAACGGCTTCATTTTATGATGTAAACAAAAGTCGATAATTAGAGAATCTCGCCTGCTTTCTTTCTCTCTCTTTCCCTTTTTGAAAGCCGAATGGATGTACAAACGGGGAAAAAGATCGTACTGATTCTCTAATGAATAGAGAAACACAGTTCTGTTTATGCGGCTTGCGATATACCTATTTAAAATGTACCGATGTCGCGTCCATTATAGAGGCGATGTTTATTTCATCTCTTCATGGTTCATTAATTTCACTTGCATTTTGCGAGAGCTCTTCGCGTAATTAGTCATCAGATGGACATAAAGAACAAAAGATGCGATTACGGTCGGACAGGTACGAAATAAACGTGACCTTAAATGTAGCTCCGTGTTTTTCAACGGACGATTGCGCTGTAATAACTGTCAACTATAAAGCTTATAAATTTCATTTTTTTTCCTCCGACAACGTGACGTGCGTTGCGTTCAAATGGAAAGTTGATAAATAAATAGTCTTACACCACGCTTTTATATAAAAAAGATTGAGAGCCGATTGCAACAACAATCTATACTTCGGTTTGATCCGATAAGTGGTTTGGTTTTAATCATTTATTATTTCTTTCTTTATATTCATTAGTTCGTTATTCTAATTATGATATATATAGAAAGAAAGAATAAAGAAAGATTGTGTCCTCTAAAAGGTGTTACTTTATTTAAATTTCTAGCAGTTTGCATTCTTTCCTTGAATAATTTTTGTAGAAAAATAGAGAAAAGGATTTGTCTGATTGAAATTAAATATTGATGCAACGATATTTGATCTGAATTTTTGTAGTAAACAATATTGCGTTGAGAGCGACGGCAAATCTCGCGTAACAATGCACTTTCGCAGAATCCCTGGCTAAATTTTGAGCGTGTGCAGGACACACAGTTCTAAATTGGCTTAATGGAGTAGGAATAGAGTCGCAGTAATGGCAACGAAGACGACAAGAGTGACGTCGTCACGTCGCATTTTCAGAGAGAGATTGCGACCGCTCGGTCGGAGATGCTTTCAAGACGCGATTTACGAAGTAGAAATAAGTCTAGGAGCAATCTGTTATCTTGAGGTTTGGTGTAGAACGCCGAAGTCCGCAAATGGTAGAATTAGAATTGACAAATTTGGCTGCCGTCCCCGCGAGATGTGGCTTCCATATCAGAAATAGCCGGTAATTTTCTTAGCTTCACTGGTATACGAAATTCAGTTGGACACTGAATACAACGGTGGACGATATTGTTAATTTTCCATCATTTATCCTGTAGACACTGATTATAACCATCGTTCTTCTTACACGAGGTCGTCTCAGAAGTAATTCTACACGGAATCTAATGAACCGTAAACCTTGAACTGTCAAGCTGTTAAACTGTTAATTAAACATTAAATCTATTTAAAAATATATTATAGAAGTGACAGAAATAGGATACATTCTTTTTATCTAATTTTCTATTTCCTTGAAATAGTATATATTCATTTAGTTTTCTTTCTTCTTTATCATACTCCTCTATAATTAATCGTACTAAGTGCTATAAAAATGATCAGTTTTAAGTAACAACTGACTCGTTGTCATTTGAGTCTAGAAAAAAATATGAAAGAGAACTGTGCAAAAAATAGATTACGCTCAGCCTCTCAAGTTTCGCTTCTTCTTAATAGTCTGCTTCTTTGTTTGTAGACGAAAGCAAGATGAGGTGCAGATCCTCGAAGAAACGATACGGATACGTTCGGAGAAACACAAAAAAGCCGGGGTGGAACTTAACGCCACATGTCACATATGCCTGAAAACCAAGTTTGCCGACGGCGTTGGCCACATCTGCAACTACTGCGACATCCGATGCTGCGCACGCTGCGGCGGAAAGGTCACTTTACGGTCAAGCAAGGTAAGAGGGCATGAGAATGGAGCACGCGAATAAATGGCCAGAAGAATCCTGGGGCCAGATTGATCGAGTTGTTGCGAGTATCTGTCCTGACGTGCCCACTTTTCTTTCCGCGTATTATACCGCCGCACTCGGCATACCGTGGAGAAACCTTTCGAAGGCCTCGGCATAAAAAGATCACACGGAAAATAAAAATAGAAAGATACCCATCGGCGTGTTATGCACGGCGATCGAGTTGATATTAACGCATCTGATGTAAATAATGTACCTCGAACGATACTTTGCGAGGTACACACTGGATATAGGAATATAAATCATTTGAGCACAAAACAACTCGAACAGAAATATAAGTACCTAGATTGTAAAAAAATATTATTTTTCTATATGTGCAAACAATCGTTATTCGGAGTAACTTCTAAAGTGTGGAAAATAAACTCATTAGGCCCGCACTGTTCTTAGAGTAAACTTTTCATGAATGTATAAATATACAGAGATAAAAAAGTATTGTCCTCTTGATTTTATCTCGAACTTTGGCGCAGCACTTTTTATTTGTCTTTTTTATTTAGTTTTTTTTTTTTTTTCTTAGCAAGTAAGTAGATAGATAAGTGATAAAATCAACTCGAGTTATCGAGTTTGCATTATTCTCACGAGCAATTTATTGATCGATACTTTAATGAAGAGCTTAGGATTTTCGAAATTACGGTCGATTAAACGTAATTGTACGCTCTACTTATTATTTTCTTTTGAAAAAATTTGACACACTGCATAATGTACTTACTACTCCGTTTCGCAAATTTTTTTTCGTTTTTCGCGGAATTTCTCTTTTCCGTAGAATTTACGTTCTTCTCATAGAGGACCTCGATAGCGTAAACGCGAACAAGTCCCTCGTTATAGACAGAAATATCGCTATTATCTCATTATATGCGCATGTACTTCGCGACGGCGGAGATAACGGCGTGATTTAACGGTAGGAGAGGGGCAAGGAAGGAAAGGGTAAATTTAACTCGAATAACGTTATCAAATCACGACGAAACGAGAGGGAAACATCAGACAGCAGTAACACGAGGGTCGGTAAAATGTCAGCCGCCTGGAAACAATTATGAGCAGACGCATTGTAAAAGATAACAATCGATGCGCACATCGTCCGGGGATGTTTACCGGGATACATCAAAACAATTGATCTATAGTGACACGTCATCATCTTCATATCGGTACGTCAATTAATCCTTTATCGCTTTATGGCGCTACGGTATTCGTGCGAACGTAATATCGTCACTAATTAACCGGCTATGCGGATACTTTGTCTCTTAATTTACGTCGGGAGTGCTGTTTTCTAGTCGCCTCCGCGCGCAATTTCGATTTTCCGGTTTTTTATATCCGCGGAAATGAAGGATTAACGTCTGCTGCGGTGGGATGTACAATGCAGAGCTTTCGGAGAGCGCGGCGAATGCCGGCGGGTGCACTTTTAAAACTTCGCAATTATATCCGCGCCACCACATTCCAGGATCCGCAGAGATTTTCGCAAACAGAAACTAACGCTCGTCGAATTTGCACCGGTATACCGTTCTAACGCGATTATCTTGCGCAAATATTATTCTTATCTCCGCGCATCGGGCTGGTTACGTTCCGTCCTCGCGCGGTATTACAATATCGATTTACCATATTCGAATCGTACGGTCTTTCTGGCGTAATCTTTGTACGAACAAAAATATATATGAAAGCGGCATACGGAGAGAGATTTTATAGATCGTCGCGCAGTGTTAACCGTATTACTATTTATTATCGTGTCACAGCGCAAGAATGCGCGGTATGTAGCCATTTAAGTATGCTGTTGGAGGTTTTATGGGTACTTATAGGCGTACATAAGAAGCAGATATATATATATTTATATATATATATATATATGCAACTTGTGCGCGTGTACGAATATAAATATAGGGATTTAAATAAATAGAAATATAATATTAGATTTCTCCCATATTATTTTTAGCTTAGGACACCGATTTTATCGATCACCGTGTCTTCTGGCTTTATTTAATGACCCAGTTTCGTGACAGATAAATTGCGGATTTAATACAGTAATAATTACCGAAAGGAAATCTCGAGATTATTTCTGGACACGCGCGCAAATTACACGTTCGCGCGGCCGCTGTGTGCGATATTTCGCGCAGGGCGCACTCTTTACTACGAACACGTAATAGCTTTTATCTTTCGCGAGCGTCGCGCTGCATCTTTCATCTCTTTCAGCGCCGGTGACAGAGAGAGAGAGAGAGAGAGAGAGAGAGAGAGAGCTCCATTTTCCGGATTATTAAAAGTAATCCGGGCGCTGATCAATGACGCTCGCGAGCGCGCCCGCGTAAAATTTAACGACGCTCGGGCACGGAATGTCGTCCGCGTATATAAACGTAGTGAGACACGCGGGGTAGAGGTGGGGTGTTTTGTAGTAAACCACCCTCCCCCTCGCCGCCCTCTCGCCGTCGTGGGTTGCACACGTGCGCGCACGCTACGCACGCACGTCTCCGTCATGGCCACACGCAAGTAACAATGACAAACGTCATCGTGGAGCGTCGTTACATCATCGATCCGCGCCCGCGAAACGCTGAGGGTGGAAGACGAGGACTGCCGGGGGAGGAAAGGGGGTTCTTTCTTCGTTCCAAATGAGCTCTTTTACCCCGTGACACGTCACGTCGCGTCGCATCTACATACTCGCCTCATCGCGTCGCGTTGCGTCGCGTTGTGTAGCGTCGCGTCGCGTCGCACACAGTCGCGATCGTTTAATTGCGTCCCGTTGCGAAAACAACGAAATTACAGAGCTATCAAAATGTTTCGCTCGAAAGGAATCGACCGCGCTCGATTATACGCAACTCATCATGATTGTGCGTCCCGATATGTCGTCGTCGTAGTCGTCGCCGCTGCCAGCAGTTTCTTTCTTTCCTTCTGCGCTCCGTTCTTTTTGCCGTTCTCGCAGTCTGGACGCTGCGTGGGAGCCTATGAATGGGGCGCGTCCCTGCGTGACGTCACTCGCCGCGCTGGTTCACGGAGGGAGTGCCGGGGGTGGTTGGAGCGCGGGGAACGTCGGAGGTGTGGGTGGCCGGGCGGACGGTGAGACGTTGGGCGGTGAGCGAGGGTGGGTGGGACGGGGGGGGGTACATGACGCAACATATTGATCTAAGTTTGGTAGAGAGGGTGCGTGGTAGAGGAGCACGCGGGGGAAGAGAGGAGGAGGGTGGTGTGGATGGAAGGGCGGAATAAAATATACGCTATCCGTCAAATCTACGCTCTTCTGGGATTTCTCGATGCGCACAATTTTACTCAAAGATTGTTTGTTGTTCTCCCGAGTCGCAGCGGCATCAGGAAGGACGCGTATATAGTTTGACGTTCTGATGCCGCGACTACCGGCGGACGTCGAAGATAGCAATTGCTTAGGGAGTCAGTGAGAAAATGGAGATGAAAAAAGGACGAAAAAAAGGGTAGCGGAATAACAAGATCCGGGACGTTACGAACAACCGTTACGCGATCTACAATGGCAATCGCGACTCGAAGATTGGCATCGAATTGCTAGACAGGAACAATGTCTCTTGGAGAGATGTGTCGAGTACTGGATTGTTTCTTGAAATAAATTCTTCGAAACGGAATCGAGAAGCCTCGTTATTGCTTACGGGATTTATTTATAGAGGATTAGATCTTATTCATGAAACGCGCTACAATATAAATTCTAGTCATGTACTACAAGCGTACTTAATATGTTATACGTTACTTATTTTTATCAGTTTGCCTTATTTTTACAACTACAATTAAGTTAGAAAATAATAATCCGGTCTCGAATTCCGACTGAAGTAATATTTTTCGCAATAAAATTATTTACAAATTTAAGATGCTTATCAGCATCAGATTATTAAGGTCTTTCTAAGATGTTTACGAGTATCAATATTATTAAATTGCTTGTCAATTTAATTTGTGATATTACTACTCTAGTTTCGTTAGGATTGCATCTCAAGACTGAAAATTAAATTCGACGTACAGTTTGCAAAATTGGATATGAGTATATAAATTCACACTGAATTATTTAAGCACTAAAGATCCAACTTGACCGTTTTCTTTTTTATTTCTTATTTGTTTTGTATTCACACATTATATTTTAAAAGATACTTTGCTTAACATGGATAGTTGATTAATTTTTCTCGTGCTTTTTGAACTCTCGTGTAATTACGAAGGCTTCTAAATAAAGAATCATTTATACTAGCCATAATCCTGAAGAATTGACCAATCATAGTCGATTATTCCCCTCTCATTCGATTGTGATTGGTCAATTCTTATAGATTACGGTATAATTTGACAGATTACGACCAGTATAAACGACCCTTAAGTGTCTCGTGAATATAGAGGGTAAACGCATTTCTGAATGAAGTGTGGTTTGCGGTACTTAAAAGTCGATTGATATACGTGGAAAGCGACGTCATAATAAAAATGTCAATGGTTAGAATATGCGACATTTACTACCCATTCCGCGACCATTTTGTTTATCTATATGCTTCGGGTTGTAGCTCCTCCGCTGGAAATCAACTGTATCGATGTACACCCGATGATATATTTCGCTATACTGAAACACGCATTCGCAGCACGAAATCAGTAGACCGAATATTTTATTATCGCACAAGTACAGACAGTAATATAGCGAGAAATCGCCCCTGGGAGATTTTGCGTTGTTCACTGGGAAGATTCGAGGTAGTTTGGGAGATATACGAGAGAATGCGCAGATGCAACGAGAACACGTGTAATGTTAAAATACCCATCGACTTCTCCGCTTTATCGTTTTCCACAATCTGTATTATTGATTGCGGGGGCCTCTAATTCCGATCGTCCCTATTTTTCATATCGCAGAATCGAGCAAAGTCGTACGCTTTTACACGGTCCTTTTTCCTCCCTCGTGTTTCTGTGCCGACATTGATGATAATGTGACTTGGCGAACTGTTTCTTCTTTTTTTTTGTTCAAATAACTATTT